TCAAATGTTTACTTTTTCATCTTGCTAGTTTTGCATGCTAGAACATTACCTTGCCTGGGATTCTCGGAGTGATACTCTTGGCAATTGCAGTTCTCGGCCAGAAAAACAGTCCTACAACACTCATTGTTCAATTCCTCTTGTTTCCTGGCTTCTTGAACCCTGTCCAGCCAGCCTAAGGAAGCGCCTTATCGACCTTCCACTTGACCAGCTTTCCAGGCTTCTCACACTTCTACCTTCGCTTAACCTCCGTTTAGTACGTGCGCCACCATCTACCTTGCTAGACGATGAGATGGGCTACTTATCATCCAAAGCCGACAAAAGCAGCAACGATTATTGGACTTGTGTTAAGCGTGATCCTCTAAAGACTGCATCACAAAATAGTATGCTTGCTGACGAAGCCAATAACATTGCGCTATCTAACACGGGCATTCTTGTGGATCAACTGATTGAATCGCTGGTTCAGCATTGGTGCCTGCAGGTCCGGCTACCATATATAATTGGCTGGCTAATCGCTCTTTTCACTCCTATGACAGCCAGACCTCTCGGAAAAACGGTTTGTTTTTTATTCTCGGAACTGAAAGTTGTGAAGGTTTTGAGAACCTTCAGGCATCAAAAGTATTGTAAAAAGTCCCCCAGAGTCTTTGAACACAATGCTCAAGGATGCTTACAAATTCACTTAGTGTCTAGGAGCATTAAAAAAAATGTGCATAGTTTGTTCAAAGAAAATATTTTAAACGAAGGTATAAGACCAGGATAGGGTGGCCCTTTGTGTGGCCGCAGTCTTTTTTTGTATACAAGTTGTTTGACCTTGTTTTCGCAACTTGGTCATATCGGTAGATAGAATTAGAGGAACGTACCTAGTTCGGAGTCCATTGTATGCAGAATAATTTCCAGAGTCGGTCAGTGTACATGGTACATCTCCAGACGTTTCGAAGGCATCGCCAGTGAGTCTTACCATTCTTAGCAGCACGCTACAGCTCGTCAAAGAGACAAGTGAAGCCGATTCTCTGACCAATTGTCTGCTAAAAAATCGTGGTGTCTCCTTCCGCCCTGGGCTAATCACCAATCCCATATCCTCGTATCACGCCTTCACTATCACAATATTTTACTTGCTTATTTAAATATGGTATGGCGTACCCTTTTGAGCGGCTTTCATGAGAATTCCTCACAGCATGTTGGCTTTCTCACCTCCCGTCACCCTTGTACTGGGAATGTTGATCAGAGTCTCCACAGTCCTTCTTCCTTAGGTATTATCAGAGTCTCTTTCTTGCCCCGTAGGATCCGTCTGCTATCTCCCCGGTTCAAGTATCTCACTCGATCTCTGTCACCCCATCGGTGCAACTCGAGGCCTTATTTCCCACACTGCGTCTGGGAGACTAACACTAGTCTAACGCCTCTGCGCAATTTCAATGGTCATGCCTTTACTACATTGACCACTTCTATGATCAAATACGTCTATTGTCAGCTAACTAGCTCTAGTCTGCTCCGTGTATATACTGTTTATATTTTTCTTATTTCCTATACCACAGTCTCTTGTGTGCCAAACCAA